ATTCAACGAAGAGTAGCGTAGATATCTTTTTTCTTTTTCTTTCTACAGGCAGCATTTCAAGTTAATCAGATACGGCTCTCCAGAGATTCTCTGAGAGGTTAGTAACAGCAAAATTCTGTGTTCTCATGGCAGAACAAAATCAGTTGAGAACGTTATCCTTTGCCGTGAAAGTCTGCCATGCGCCCCGAAACGGTCGGCTAACTACATTGTTGCAATCACCAGTTGAATGTTGTTGTTTTGCATGTGCTTGATTAGAAACGAAGTCTAATGATCCCGAAAGAAACTAAGGATTAGCATAAACTAGGGGAATGCTTTGAAGGTAGGGCTCTCAAAGAGCCTGGTGCTCTTTCCCGCTTATGTTGTCTCTAAAACACTGTTCATCCGTAAGTTTATTCATGTTCGATACTTGAAAAGTCGTAGTATTTTTATTTTACATTCAATTTCAAGTCAACATTTAGGAGGATTCGAACAGGCTTCTTCTTTCCGCGTCCCTCCTGAAGTGGACACGTTTCAAGGTACACTTCCTGCGAATAGTAAACTTTTGCACGAAGAAATAGTAATCCAGTGGATAGTAAGTACCGGTTCTGCGAGAGAGATGGCTTTCACTAATTCCTGGTTTTTCTTGGAACTCTTAGTTAGTGAGAACTGCTAGTTGATATGACGGTTATTCATAAATTGTGCTTTCAGTCTAAAAGTATGGCCGAGTATTTGGCTGTCAGCAGAAGGTTGTACTTGCCTCGAAAGATGCGATTCAGCAACCAGTTAACCGATGATATCATTACATTGGTCACGGCTATTATATCGGAAACCGTGGTTAGGTGCTCGAAAGATTTTCGCATAGCGCAGAATATTAACTGCAGTCTCGCGTTCTTTGTGCGTGACATGTTCTCATTGATGAACCGAACCTATGTCTTCCAGTGAGTGTCATACATGCGCTTTCGATTCTGATAGGATTATTGTTTTGTGGATTTTCAGGCTGATTCGGCTATACTGCCGCGACGTGATGAACAAGGTGGTGCATGGCGCAGAGGCCGCGCAGTTACTATCGTTGAAGCTCGATTTCTTGAGAATAATAGCTTCTCATGAGCACTTTGTCACTCTGAATCTACCAATGGCCTCTCCGCCGTTTCCCGTCTCTTCCTCGCTTGCAGTAGACGTTGCCGTTGCACGTGCCCTTCCCGGCATGCAGCCGCCATCGCCCTCATCTAGCAGTGTCTCGTCTCGTTCGTCAGCTGGTTCCGCGGCGCTCAGTACTACCACTACAGGCAGCAGTGTGGGTGCTGCGGAACTGACCGCTGAGTTCCGAGCCCTTCACTTCCTTTGTGGTCTGCTGTTGACTGATGTCGCCCTGATCTTGGAGACTAACAGTTCATACCTACACTCAAAGGCGGTCAACATCGTTCGCAACGTGTTCTCCTGTCACGACGCTGACCCGCGTCTTTCTACGAAGCCCATCAAAGGTAAGATAGTTCAGTTTTTCTTCTGGCAATGCACTAACGTCTGTCGGCTGTCACTGTAGGACATATGATCGATTGTGTTTACATTTAGCAAAGATAGCCGCGCTCTACTTTCCATTCCTCGGCATCGTTTTGGATTCTGTCGTTCAACTGTATGACCCATACTGTGGCCGCCCAAAGAACGACTATGCATTTCCTGCTGATTCGAAGCCGATGTTTACATACACCAACGAAAGCAGTTTTTCAAGAAATACTGCAATGGTATAAATTTCGCTTAAAAACTGCCTGTTCAATCTTTTTTGCGACATTTACAGTTTACTGATGGACATTTTTTGTTACTCCTGAATAATCATTTATCCGATTAATCAAGGCGAAGTTCAGCCACAAAGGGGCTTTAGCATAAGATATTCTTATATAATTACACACCAGAATACCATGATGCTATTGTTGTTCGCATGTCAACGAGTTGCTATCCTTTTCTCGATGCTCGTTACACTTATGCAACGTGGGTTAAATTTCTTGTTCAAACAAACCTGTGGTTGCGACAACGATCATCCTTACACGGAAATCTGTCCCGGCACCTCTGGGATTCGAGGTCGACCTCTTAAGAACTCT